ATTTTTACCAAATAAACACTATACATGCTTATATGGGACAAAAAAGGAGATAAAGACATATCTCATTTATTCTCCATATAGGGTTCTATGTATGGTTAAATAGAAAAAATGAGATAAGGACATGTTATCTCATTTTCTCCATATAATGTTTACATGGAATTCTTATATGGATAAAAGGGATAACTATTAGAGAAAGAATTATCACGACTTTTTCAATTATCACGTTTTCCAGTGAAAATAAATTTACGTACTAAATAAATGAGATAAAAAGCTATGTATTGATATATATAGTAAGAGCCATTACAGAAGAGTAATCAGCCATTTCACAGTTCCAAGTACGCAGTAATACATTGTCTAGGGACGGTATGAAGGAGTTTTATGTTGTTGTTTTCATAAGTTCAGTTTTAGTACCTTTTGTGAATCTGGAAACAGACCATTCACTACGATGGTAGTTAAAGGCACTCAAAGCAATTTCACGCCAGTAAAACTTGGGTTTGGGCTATGAAACCTGAAATTGTACCGGATGACTTTATGGTTGACAACGGATAAAAGAATCACATATTCATGTCGTGGTTTCTTAAGAAGAGGCTTGTATTTTTTCTAGTGAACCTCATCACAACGTCGTGATTTTTCATTCGTAGGAAACCGTTTCTGTCAGTATTGACAGCTCCTCTGTGTCAGTGTATAACATCATAACTCACAACACATTCAGACCTGTTTTTGATCATGGTCCTACCGAGGACAGTGGTGGACTCTAGAAATTCATAGAAAGAAAATATGACACCAAAATTCAGCATTTATGATTATATTCAACAACAATTATAATGTTCATCAACTAAAATATATATTTTCTCAATATACTCTTCTCAAAATATACATATCTTCTCAATCTTTATCAATTATCTCACCATTCTTTTTTGAAAAGTCAAGTTTTTTTGTCGCTACTGGTTAGGTAACCTATTATGACTGCATCACAGTCAACATGGCGACCAGTTCGACCCATGGCCAGCTCTACGGCTCAAGAAAACATGTAGCTTTGAAAAGTCATGAAAGCAAATATTGTAAAACCGTTCACTGTGACGTCACAGACAATCATACTTACCTTGCATCTACTTACCTCTAAAAAACCTGAAGGCTAATTTCTAAAGGAGAGATGGTCAATAAAAATATCATAGGAGAAGGGTGTATATTTGCTGCAAACACTAACGTGTATGTTGAATGATTGATGAACCATTGTTATTAAATGTAATGATTTTGTAATGAGAATATTCTTGTATATGACATCCACTGGGAACCCCAAAACTGATGCGAGCGTGCGAGTTGCTTTCATTATCATCACTCACAATTATAGGGTAGCGTTAGAATAAGGTATCTAGAAGTAGATTTTAGTATTGTTGTTATCTTTTGATTTAAACACTTGCCATACATTGTATCCATTGCAATTGTTGCGCAATAAAGATTGATTGTTATGAAATCTACGTGCAGAGTATGGTATGTTGAATAATCTAGTCTTCAGATTCATTTCTTTACATTTTCGTCTTTTTCGTTTGATTATGGCATTCTACGACATTGGTATCGTTTTCCACGGTATATATTTCCTCATTTTGCAACCGTTTGTACGATTTACAGTATAGTTAAAAACTTTTTTTGGAAACGGCTGAAAATTCATTCGCGCGCGGATGTCATCCATATAATAAAATCAACATGGCCTAATCGCAAACAGCCGGTATTCTTGAGACTATCGTACATATGTCGTAGAACATTGTCTTATATCCATGTCTGTGGTTGGTTCTGTCACAGTTTACTTGGAAATTCTACGACAAAATTTAAAATTTCAGGACGACCTCCGCCACACGTGATCGTGAGACAGACTGTGTTTTTACATGACCTGTCATCACAGGATGATGATAGAAAACAGAGATTTAGTCATCCTTTATTTTCCTACAGAAATCGATGCTGATTATAACGTGCATGTCTCCCCAGCCAGGCGGGGCACACGGCTGTCTCCCCTCCATTAGCTCTGCCACCGAGAATTCGATTTTCTCGCCGCGGTGGCGACGAAGTACGGGTCCCGCACGGAGGGCGTCCAAACCGCGTTTGGTACATTAGATGATGACCTTTCCTTAGAGCCGCTGTGCCTAAATGGTTTCTCACTACTAAACTAAGTGGGGAAACAACACAGTCAATAGAGGGGGTCAGTTGGTTAATATGAAAGTAGTCCCGAGTTGTGGTAGACTTTTTGTTCTTTTAGTACAATGATAAAAGCTTCGTTAATAGCTTTATCAGGTTAGTAAGACACCTGAGAGCAACAGGCACCTCCCAGCTACATTCATCATGGGATAATGAACTCTGCTCGTGCTGTAAGTTTAGGGACCGCATTTTTCCGGGGCGCCGCCTTGCGGAATACAGGCGCACAGGAAGGCAGAACATAGCCTGGTTATCAATCAGTCTTACGTTTGTTTAACATTCCTGTGGTAGTCTAGCCTGGGTGCCAGACCCGCAGCACACTAGGCTTAATCTACCAGTAGTCCTCAGGCAGTCGGCTTTTCTATTAATGCCGAACGCGTGCGTGCGTCTGGCGGGAGGGTTGGCGGGCCAGGACGCTCTTAGCGCCGGAGAGATGGGGGAGCCACGACGGTCTGTTCAGCAAACTATATACATGAAAACACAGGCATTTTGAAAAGAGGTTCCTTCGTTTTTTAATGGGTCCTCAACCATTGGAAGCTTTGTTTTAATTTAATGTAGTATCATGGTTGTCTATTGAAACATGATATGTACAGATTTTACACTTCCCAAGGGAATCTACCAAGTACTAGTACTATTCGGTAGTGGCAAGGACGCGGGGTGTCGTTTTCTGATTAATTTCTACCAATCAGAGAATGACTTTACCCAACAAATCACAAGTCATTTAGAACGTCATGACGTCACGCTAGGTCATCTGACCCGTTAGTACAATTTATAGATCTACCAATCATCAGTTGTTTCTTTAATGAAATTGTTGTAATTTGACACCGAGCTTGACTTTCACATCTATTCCTTTTGTAGGACGAGAAGAACCAGATTATGACAACAAATGTGTGGCTGAAACAGGTACGTCATACTTCTCTCTGTTGGTGGTTATTATCATATCATTGTTTTATTGCAGGCTCATGTCCGAAGGCTAATTGCAAATACAACAACAACAATAATAAGTATAATCAAGTAATACTTAACTAGACACAATAAATAACAGCTACCGTAACTCCTAACAACTACTGGGTTTGACTTCTTTTTTTGAGACAGAGGAAGACAAAAGATCCCACTTTGATTCACGTTACTAGTATTATAACCCTGATGAAGATGACAGACGATCATCGAAACATCAGCTCATGTAAAATGAATAAATAATAATTGTGAATAAACAAAAGTATTCCACATCAGTCAACATGTTGAGTTTGGCGTGTCCCTTATACTACTGGATTTAATCTCTTAAACCTTCTTTCATATATTTGCCTATCTGTACACAGTAAAGGTAATCTCCTAAAATAAAATGGAATTTACCTATTGAATGAAGTGTATTCCGATGAGCATTATGAGTGGGAAGTTGAACAGTTTTTGTGCTTTTATCATCATATCGTGAACAATATAAGATAAAGTTACGTTCATCTTCAATCTCATTTGGACAAAATCGACAAAGCCTCTGGTGTCGGGGAGAATTTTTTCATATCTTCCGATTTCTACATTCAATTTATGACGATAGCAGATTGGAGGGAGAGGGTTTGGGACAGGGAAACTCTGACATGATGATGGTGATCGTACAAATATATATTTGTGATTTCTCCCTGCAGAAATGGAAGGACAGTAAGCTATGCTGGGATCCTGACGAGTATCACGGTGTGAGTGTCATCCGGGTACCATCCGACATGATCTGGTTACCGGACATCGTACTCTACAACAAGTAAGGCTCCGTGCAATCATATATACCATATTGAGGTACACTGGTGCTGTTTTGCTGCAGTAGCCTGTTAACAATTCCAATTATCGTATCTATAGGATCGTGCCTGTCTAGCCTGAAGGTTCTGGACATCTAGTCCCCGCGTATCCAAGAGCGTAGGCTTGCCCCAGGCACGGGTATGGATACGCATGGACTATTCAGAAACGTACATAATCATGGTTCTGGATAAAGCACCGCATGACGTGCATGTAAGCCCGCTGCCATGAGGGTATGGATGACATCCTCTGGACATCCCACACTAATACGAGCGTACAAACAAACAAAATGCCTGAATTTTGAAATCCAGGGAAACATGTAAAGCATTATGTGGAGAATTGCTGTGGATCCGAGGGGGAATAAATGTCTCTTTTTTGGGGAAGGGGGGGGGGTCGAAATTGATATGCTCATGGACCTCAGCCACAGACGATAGAACAGATTAAATGTTCTGAACCACCGGGAGAAAATTACGTCCTGTCCTTGAGACTCTTGCATCAAGAGATTACTCCATGACTCACTACAATTTATTCTTTACTTTTACAACGAGGCCAAATTGAAATTCAGCACCTGTGAGGGAGTGACAATATTTATGGGTCCATACTTTTCGACATCGTTTGAACGTTGTCAGAAGTAACGCGTTGTTTGTATTCCATGTACCTCTAAATTTCCTGTTTCTCTTCTTAGTGTCTGGCATGTAACATTTGTAACCATCGCCTTGAGTTGCCTGTAGCCGACCCAGTGTCTGGTGCGACTGAATACAGTATTGTATAAGCTGTCCGTTGGATGAAGAAATATGACGAACATTTCACACAGGAATGGAATCGCTTTCTGACACGCCAGGATTGCGTTTACCGCTCCGGACTTAATACTTTTGGCAACAGAAAAATCAATACATACATTGTGCCTACTGTGGCGAAGATAATGGCTTATTGATAATCAATGCGTGACAGTGGAAATCGAAGAAGAGATATGGTGTAACAAAACAGAATAGGCTGGGACAGTCATTGACTAGAGAGAGATTCCCAAACATTTCCAGCATCGCACCTACCACCTTTCCTTACAGAGTCGACGGTTTGCAGGTTTAGTAAAATGTAAATTTAGTTCAAAATTATCCTGACATGTTCGGCCGAATACGAGATACATATATGCGTGCATGAACGTCACGATTGTTTGCTTGATTCTGATTTCTTCATCGATGGCAAATATTGAATATTCAAAGGCGTGAAATTGCGATGATTTTTATGAAAAGGAGTCGTTTGCGTTGTTGCGTTTGCTTTGAGGTGTTCCGTGCACTGCCAAATGTCCCACGTCATTTTCTACATGACTGAGTCTGTTTTATCACGCCTCGTGTCCAATAACAACTTTATGACATTCCCGTGTTATGGCGCACGGCTCCAGCTGGCACACAGAAGTGCTTTCCGTAATAAACATTTGATCCTGCAAACATGCAACTGAACTTTCCTCATCATTTCTCTGTCCGTGGTACTGACATGCTATCCCTATCCCTGGTACTGAAATGCTATCCCTGTCCCTGGTACTGACATGCTATCCCTATCCCTGGTACTGAAATGCTATCCCTGTCCCTGGTACTGAAATGCTATCCCTGTCCCTGGTACTGAAATGCTGTCCCTGTCCCTAGTACTGAAATGCTATCCCTGTCCCTGGTACTGAAATGCTGTCCCTATCCCTGGTACTGAAATTCTGTCCCTGTCCCTAGTACTGAAATGCTATCCCTGTCCCTAGTACTGAAATGCTATCCCTGTCCCTAGTACTGAAATGTTATCCCTGTCCCTAGTACTGAAATGCTATCCCTGTCCCTGGTACTGAAATGCTATCCCTGTCCCTGGTACTGAAATGCTGTCCCTGTCCCAGATACTGAAATGCTGTCCCTATCCCTGGTACTGAAATGCTGTCCCTATCCCTGGCACTGAAATGCTGGCCCTGGTAGTGAAATGCTGCCCCTGGTACTGAAATGCTGTCCCTGGTACTGAAATGCTGTCCCTGGTAGTGAAATGCTGTCCCTGGTAGTGAAATGCTGTCCCTGGTACTGTAACGCTATCCCTGGTACTGAAATGCTGTAACAGGTACTGAAACGCTATCCCTTGTACTGAAATACTGCCCCTGGTACGGAAATGCTGTCCCTGTCCTTAGTACTGAAATGCTGTTTCTGTCCCTGAATCCCCTTCAATTTTATGTTGTGGTTTCTGTATCTGTATAACCGGTATAACGATTCAGCGTTATATATCAGCTTCGCGCGTAGTGGCATATTAGCTACATTATACCGAACGACCTATTATACCTAACCTCCTAACTGAAAACTTTGTTGAAATCTACCTAGTGACGGTGCCCGTACTGTACTTCTTGAAGCATGGCCAGAGCTGACATTCATGAATATTCACTAAAATACCATGCCGGGAAGTTTCTGCCAAGTAACCGGACACGGTTTAGTGGTTACATACGGGAAGAAATCCCCATGATTAATCAGATGAAAGGACACATAGTAACCTTACTGGAATATAAAGGTTTTCTTTTATACACAACCAGTATAAACCCTCACCAGATTACAGTTCGATGTCTAAAAAGACATCTTCCTCAGAGCTTCTGACTGGAGTACTGCTCCTCGCCGCTAGATGTATCCGATGTAGGTGGCGCTTTTGCGGTGACAACACAACCCCAAACGTGGCTATGTTTATATCCCCACTCGTCGCGGTTCATCATTGGTGTTGACATATAGCGGCGAGAAGCAGTACTGCAGTCAGAAGCTCCGAGGAAGATGTCTGACAGGCAGCTAGGTGGGAGTCTACACCGGTTGTTATAAAGAGCAGGCGCCAATATCCTATGTTTTACCAACAAAATGAAGTTATTTTCGGAACATTTCGTGACTTGATATACAACACTTTCAATGTCAAGATTATAATATCACGGTTGCAATGTCCTAGCCTAGCTGGAATCACCATAGGCATAATACTTCCATCATTCAGGCATGGTCTGTTGGTGTATCATCATGAATATCAACTCTTCTCACGCGACATAAATCTACAATATTTGACCGGAATTCATGAAAAAGAGCAGGATGATAATCCTACACAGCTGACGGGGGGGGGGGGTCAGTAAATGATCTTTTCATTGGATTCTGTGGGGTCGTGTGGTGTAGCGGCAGAGTGCTCGACTCGGAATCAAGAGGTCCCGGGTTCGAGTCCTGACATGCCACCGATCTTGTGCCCTTGAGAAAGGCACTTTACACGACTTTCCTCCTCAATTCGCTTAGGTGAAAAATGAGTATTGTATTGTCCCCTGTGTTGGTAGCGGCACGAATATAAGTTGAAACTTGAGTGTGCCGTCACCACGTCTTGTGATTATATTTTGGAATGTAAAAAAAAACCATAAACGACAAGCACTTTTAAAACACAAACCTGTCAAAGTCAAAGATGGATTTGTCAGGTTTCTTTGGATGTAAAACATGAAATGTCACTTCCTGTATTATAAAGCGTTACCGCTAAAAAGAGTCAAATAACCCCAGGATTTTAGTCAGTCAGGAATCATAATAATATGGAGGAGGGCAACTTGTAAAGGTGCGTATGCACCTGTTTTGCCTTCCCTTTCACTTTGTGAAACAAATAAACAAATATTTGGGTCAATATCATTTACTGGACAGACCATGCCAAAAGTCACAGATTTTCGGCAGTTAAAAATAAACATTCATCTGCCCTTCTTACCACAAAACTGGGCCCTTACATATAAGCAAAATTTGCCTAGGAAAAATTAGTTCAAAAATTGATTTAAAAAATCCTACGTGTACAAAGAGCCCTTTCTGTGCAAGTCGATTGACCAGTCCCCCCCCCCCCCTTGTTGAGTCAAATCCTTGAGCTGCCAAAGACGAGAGAGGTCAGGTGTTTAGGGTTAGGGTTGGTATTAGAGGTAGGGTTAGGGTTACAGTTGGGATCATTGTTCAGCGCAAGGGTTAGACTTACGATTGGGGTTAGGTTAGGTTTAGTGATCTTTAGTCTCCCAGTCCCACCCCTTGTCGACATGTCTCAGGTATATTGGTAATATGTCGGAGTCATGTATTTGGCAGGATCATGTATATGGCTTGACAACGGGACCATGTCAGACATGCTAGATGTTTGGAATACTAAGTAAGGCCACAGCAATTAATTTTTATGGATGACATTGATCAGTGCGCGCTGATTTTGGGGAAGAAAGAAGGAAGAAATTTTGTTGCCCTCTGATAGTGGTCAACATGCCGAAATGGGCAAAGATTTCTGTTGCCATGCCGTAACATGGATGACAGTTAAATATGAAGAGAGGAGACAAGACAAGGCTCTCATTCAATGTTTTCTTTTCAAGTTTACTTTGATGCAATGATGTATTAATTTGTCATTCCTTTTATATGTAATGTTCCTACTGAATCAAAACCATTGATGTTGTAGTAGTTGGCAGTAAACTTAGTATAGGTATCATTTCTTGTTTAACAATTAAGGTTCATGATGTCAAAATTTGAAAATGTTGGAATCTTCTTTTTTGGGCCCGGTTTGTTTTTTTCGCCCTCTCGCATTAGATTAGGAGTCTGCAAGGATGTCATCCATAAAATATACTTGAAGTGGCCTAAGTAACACGTGTTGTTTCTCCTGCCCCACAGCGCTGACGGGAACTACGCCGTCAAACACAACACCAAGGCACAGATCAGCTCGGACGGCATGGTGACCTGGGAGCCGCCGGCCGTCTACAAGTCCTCCTGCGAGATAGAAGTCACCTACTTCCCGTTCGACCAGCAGAACTGTTCCATGAAGTTCGGCTCCTGGACGTACGACGGCTTCCAGATCGACCTGATGATGATGGACGACCATGTCGATCAGGGCGGCTTCTCCGAGAGCGGAGAATGGGTCATCATTGACGCACCCGGGCAGAAGAACATTATCAAATACGAGTGTTGCGAGGAAGTTTACCCAGATATTACGTTCTTTTTTGTTATTCGGAGGCTCCCTCTCTTCTACACCATTAACCTCATTGTGCCGTGTGCTCTGATCTCCTTTCTCACCGTCCTGGTGTTCTACCTCCCCTCCGACTGCGGAGAGAAGATTACCCTCTGCA